TGTCCTTGCGAAGAAAGACGCTAAGTTCGTATGGGACAAGAAGTGCCAAAATACTTTCGATGACATTAAACAATACCTTTCTAATCCACCAGTTTTGACAGCTCCAATTCCGGGAAAGCCGTTAATTCTCTACGCTGCAACCTTAGATGAATCTTTAGGTGCCCTGTTGACCCAAGTCAACGACGAAGGGAAGGAGAATGCTCTCTATTACCTTAGTTGAAGACTTCTTCCTACTGAAATTCGATACCCGTCAATTGAGAAGCATTGTCTGGCTTTGGTTTTTACAGCCCAGAAACTGAGGCATTACATGCTCTCCCACTCAATCAGTTTGATTTCAATAGTTAATCATTTGCAATATCTTATGACTCGACCTACGTTGTCAGGACATTTAGCCTGTTGGTCTATGATATTACTGCAATTTGAGATTCTATTCACTCCTATTCGTGCTGTGAAAGGACAAGCCGTCGCTGATTTTCTGGCAGCACACCCGCTGCCGGCAGATTCTCCTCTGAACGATGATCTACCCGACGAACAAATCAAGAGTTTGAGGGAATCTGGCGAGGCCGTCTGGGAATTATATTTTGATGGAGCAGCATCCTCCCGTAAAAATGTGACCCAACAATATGTAATTCCTGAAAAAGCTGGAGTCGGTCTAATTTTCATAACACCGGAAAAAGGAATGATGCATTTTTCCTATCATTTATCGGAGCCCTGCACAAACAACGAAGCTGAATACGAAGCTCTGATAATCGGTCTGGAACTTGCAATTCTAATAGAAATTAAAGAGATTAAGATCTTTGGAGATTCCCAGTTGGTGATTAACCAAGTGGTCGGACTTATAAAGTATTGAATCCTAATCTCCTAAGATACCACCAGTACACACTTCACTTGTTGAAACAAATTCCTACCGCCACTTTGTATAGGGTTCCCCGTAGAAGCAATTCTGCGGAGGATGCCTTAGCAAAACTTGCAAAGGAATTTGTATGTCCTGAGGAGGATTCCATCCCTATAGAGATTCAGAGTCGTAAAGCCATCTCTCTTATAGATTTGGAACACATTAGTAAGACTCCCCTTCAGATCCTTTCTGCCTCTTCGACAATCGACGAAGAAGGCAATTGGAGACGACCCTTAATCGATTACCTTAAAGAAGGGAAGCTTCCCTAGTATAAATCACTCTCCAACTAGATTAAGAAACGTGCCCTATCATACGCACTAGTCAA